TCAAATCATTTATTTGCCAGTGTGTTTGCAGCTGATGAATTGAAGAGATTTTCATTTGGACAAATGTCCATTTTATCTTGCTAATTTGTACGTGGATTTTTAAAGACAAAGCCCATGAAACATTAGCTAAGCATTTGAAGTTAATGGGCCATGGAGTCCTATTTCCCCGCAAACCCAGGATGCGTCCTCCTATGTCCTGTTTTTACAGCAACATCAATTATTAAAATGTGTATTTTTGCTGACAGAGGACCTTGCCACCGACATGGGTTGCGTTGTCCGGCTCCGGGTCATTAGCTGCGGAAAGCTTGTAAATGTAACGGTTTATTCCCACGGGAAGCCTTCATTAAGACGCGTAATTCTGCCGCTAATGTATTGCAATACCTCGTGTGTTATCATGTTCTCTGTTTTCCTTTAATATTTGTAATTTACTTTTAAATGAGTTGCTGTTTCTGTGACAACGAGCTCCCGAATTTGAGCTCCATAGGACCAGAGTTGCCAGAGAGAAAAAGACGTTTTCGCCCCAAGGAAAACCTGCCCATCGATATAGGGCCTGAAATGATGACAATCTTGGCATCCGAAAGCAGCTGGAGAAAGTCTACACCGAGCAACACGCGCGGACACACACGCAGTGACCACTCAGCGTGGGGCGGCGGGAGGAACTCGGGACCGAAGGAGTCAGGAACCTTCTCGCCGTATTCATTCACGCAGAATGACTGGGGCGTCGCTTAGGTACGACCCTCTGTGGCCTCATCTGTCCAGTGGGATGCTCATGGCCTCGTTTCGCCCTCCAAGGGGGGTGTGGACTGGAGTAAGTCACCCCAGGGAAAGAACGTGGGTACAGAGGGCCACGCCCCAGAGCCGTGAGGGAAGTCCGAGGCAGCAGCCAGAAGCGAGCCGCGCTTCTTGGAGAGCAAGCAGCAGGACACAAGCCGGGCACCGGCGGGCGACTTCGGTGTTTGGAATAAACGGGGGAAAGGCCCAGCTAAAATACACTCCGTGTCGGTACATTTATGGAAGACATTTGCTGTAAATTACCGTAAGAAATGATGTAATTGCTGGGTGGAAGCAATTTGTGTGATTCATCAATAGAGAATCATAACATTAATGCAAGACTTCAAAACAAGTTTACACGTTCATCAGAGACAAAGGAATTTGGGTCATTTGTAGCAGAGATCCATTGTAACATATGCACCAAAAAAACCAATGAATTTTAAAACAGTCCTTGGGGGAATTAGGTAAAAATCTGTACAAGAATTATAAATGTCTCTATCACACATTTAAGATGTACACACTAGGAATGAGAAACATTCCCTTGGAGACAGAAGGATTGGATACTTCTTTAAATGATTAAATAAAATTCCTGTCTCTTTATTTTGACACAAAATGCACAGTACGAGGTGAGGCCTGTGAGCACGTCTACGGGGAGGCAATTTGCTTTTTAAGGTTGTTCTTGAAATGATTCTGTAATCCTCGTTCTGGGTTCACTTTTAAAGTTGTTTTAGGGTTTTTTCCTGTCATAAACGTCACATGCTCTCATTGTACTACACTTGAACAGTTGGCTTCTCTCCTCTGGCTTCCCCATGCATGTTTTGATAAACTATCTTACACGCGATTTTCTTTTCATCTTTTTAACTTGATTTCGTGTCATTAAGCGGCTGCTGAATTCCAGCAGCATCTGGGCTGTGGCTTCATGTTGAGAAATTACCCCCGGGGGCTCCCGGTTGTTTCTGGGAGACTGTGTGTGCGCGCACGCTGGTTACGTGTGACTTTCATCCATTTGGAATTGATTTTAGAACATGACATGAATTGAGTCTTTAAGATTATCTTGTTTTTCCCCCAAGTAATTGACTTAAATTTATAGTTCTGTCTGTGTAAACGAGGCCTTGGGTTTGGTTGTACACGAGCTTCGCAGCTTGTGAAATGGATGTTGCTGTTCTCTTCTTATCCTGGAATTTTCTTCGCCAGGCAGCGTCCTAGCTTTCCTCGCTCCATCCACGCCGATGTCGGTGCCGCTGGGGCCGTGACGGCAGTCGCACTGAGCCCCGGCCAGGCTCCGGGCAGGCGGCAGGGCTTTCCAGAGAAGCACCCCGCCCCCCGCCGTTTCCACGGCCTGACGCCGCCCACCACCCCCCTACCAAGGAGGAAGCCAGGCCTTCGGAGAGCGGGTGCCTGGTCTGAAGTCACAGGGGGCGTGGGGCACAGCCGAGACTCACACCCGGGCATTCTGCCCCGAGGGCCCAGAGCGCGGCTGCAGGTCAGATGAGCTCGGGGTCGTTTCCTGCCTCTGCCACTGTCCGCTGTGTGCACTTGGGAAAGTGGCTTAGCCTTCCTGGCTCCAGGCCCTTACACGGTGGGGATGGGCAGGATGGTGGGAAGAGCTAGGGGATTATTTCGGGGCGGGGGGGCAGGGGGCAAGCACGGGGGTGGGGCCAGGCGGGGATCCCTGCGTTGCCGGCTGCTTTGATTCCTTTTTCTAACTTCTCCTCCTCCCTCTCCCCTGGCTGTTCCCCCTCCTCCCCTCTTCCTCCTTTTCCCTCATCATCACTTTAGGCTTCTCAGGCCATGTCGTCTCCATCACAGCTGTTCAACTGGGACAATCTCAACAACAAAATAATAAAGTGGCATTGGGTTATAACCTGAAGTATAAAGGAAATTCCAGCAGTCCATACTGATATAAATAAGTTATTGAATCAATTAATAAATGTGGGAGAAGAGACCAATCTTTTACGCAGAATTCCAAATACTTTCAGGCTCTCCACCCTCAGGGAAGCGGAGGGTGCGCGGTGACTTCCTTCCAAAGGGGAGAGGACAGGGCGCAGCGGGAGGCGGGGGCGGCCTTGGTAGACCCAGAAACCTGGCCGCGGCTGCGCGAGCCGGCGGCGGAGGCGGGCAGTGTGGCCTCCTGCCAGGACGGATGGAAGCGGCGCTTCGCCCTCACCTCCGTGCTCTTCCTCTCTGTAACGCAGGCCCCATCAGTTGCGACCAGACAGCTGTGTGTCGTGCCGTTGGTTTCCTGACCGAGGTCTCTGAGGCTGAAAAAGCAAGACCACAGATGGGAATGAAGGATGAGCAGTCACTAACCCTTCCTCCCCACCCAGCTGGCCTCCCGGGTGCCCGGACCCTGCGCTCCCTCGCCGCTCCCGTGCACTGGCTTGTTTGTTCCCCGTTCCCAGACAGGAAGCTTCCTACGATGCTTCTGACCCAACAGGCATCCTCTGAGGGCAGCTTTGCCTGGGTCCTGCGGGCTCTCGGGCCCTTCTGCACCACGTGGCCCCTGGGAGGAAGGCTCACAGAAGGCGGGCAGCGGCTAGGATGCAGGTGGCCAGTGAGCGACTGGGAATATTGAAGAACAGCGAGGTCCTTGTCTTCACTGTGCCCAGCGCTGGGCTGGTGATGCTCAACCGTGGCTCTCCGGGAAGTGTGTGTGCATGTAGCATTTCACTGACATGAGGATGTGTACATGCAATTTCCCGCTAATATAAAGTGCACGCTCCTCGTTGCTGCAAATGTCACACAGCCACCAGTTCTCACAGAGCACCCGCCACTGTGGTTGCTGAACTCTCGTACCGCTGTCTGCCGGATGAATGGGTGCGTCTGCTAAACCAGCGTAGCTCCAATATGGACAGGGATTGTTATTTTCATTTGTGTTAATGAGTGAGATAAGAGTGAGGCAGGGGAAACATGCCGGGACTTCACTCAGTCGTCATTTTTGGGGTTGGGTGCTCCTTCGCCGAAGCAGATCGCAGTTTTTAGAACTTCTGGAAGGGCATTTCCTCGCCTGTGCCGTTCGCGATGTGACCGATACAGACAGTGCACATTTCTGTTTTGCTGCATTGTCATTTTCCTATCACTTAAGTCTAGACAATCCAATCAGATGCTCTACAAAGCCCTGACTCACAGCATGTGCCGAGTCCATGGTGTAATGGACGCAGCGGGGAAGATACGCAGTCACACGCTGCGTCGCACCGAGAACGGGTCGTGGGTATCGTCTGGAGCCGAGGAAACTGTGCAACCCAGTGAGAATGACTAGGGAGTGATGAGCATTTAGTATTGATGACTTTTGTTTTTAAAATAATTTTAGTTTTAGCATTCCAAAATGGCTGTTTAACATTTGGCTTGCAAAATCCCTGAAAATGTGTCCGTTGGATCGCAGGCGCCGCTGTGGGCTGGCTCCGTCTCGCCGCTGAACTGGGCGCTCGTTTGCTGAATGGCCTGGGCTGGATCTCTGGGCTCCTTGCGGCTCTGTGCACGTTTTTCTGCCCCATGTCCCTTCCTGCCCTTTCCAGCCATGCCCGCTACGTAGCAATGTTGTAGAGCGTCTGTCCGCCATTGTTCCAGACCGAGTCATGCATTACTTTCCTTCCTGCCAACTGCGTTCCCTAGAGGCTTGCAACCGTAGAGTTCTGTCTGAGCAGTCCTTTGCATCTGCTCTTACTGCAGCCGCCCCGGGGTGCTGAGTGCCCGGATGGCACGCGCTAGCCAGGCACTTGTTGACTTGCTGATCTGCAGATTTTGAGGGAGAGCAAACAGAGATGTACTATCACAGTGAATGTCTGGAGCCAGCAGAGAATTTTCGTCTTTGGAGGTCTTCAACAATAGAATAGATCCTTCCAGAGCCGATTATGGTTTCGTTTTTCTTGAAATTGGAGCCTCTCGTCCTCAGTTGTTGGCTTGTTTCAGCTGCGGTCTTACTCTATAGTCCTCGTCTTCCCACTGACCAAGACTTGGAAAAGGTTTATTGACTATGCATGGTATGCATCTTTCGAGCTAGCTGGCACCCCCACCCAGCTTCCGGTGCGGAGTCCGCCTGCCTCTCCTTGCCATGGCAGTGAGTCCCATTTCCGAATGTTCCCGCCAGATCTGACTCCTGAGTTCTGTGTGTGCCTCTTGGGGCCTTTGGTAAGACACAGTTGAAGACAGGGACCTAATTAATTTGTGGCTAATATTTCTCACTTGCTTTGTAAGCTTTATGATCTCAAGCCTTTTCGCTGTGTTTTCAGAACCCGCCTCCCCTGTTTAATGAGGTCAGTGCTGCAGTAACCCAGGCTGACAGGGTGGCCTGCCTGCGGGACAAGGTGCAGAGCAAGCATGAGGAGGACTACAGAGAAGCCCTGGTCACCATCAAGGACGACCTGAAATTGACACAAGGTCCGGACATCAAGGAGAACCTGCAAGACCAGATCCGGCGCTGGTTCATCGAATGCAGGTGAGCGCGAGTGAGCAGACGGGACAGGCCCTGGCAGACCCGCCCCCGGCCCATGAGGGCCTGGGGTTCTCTTCTGTCTCAAGCACAGGAAGGCGCTTGCTGATTTTTATTCCTGAGGTTTCAGGCTTCCTTTTAGAAGAGTGAAATGGCAAGGCTAAGAGTTCAGGCGCTAATCTTTTGTGATGGAATGGCGAGTATCTTTTTCTTTTCATGTGGGCCACGTGACGCCTCTGGGCCCCTGGGGACTGGAACCTCGTGCCCCCCATGCCTCCTCCAGGCAGCGTGAGCGGTACCGGAGGACGTAGACTGGAGCTCACCTTGGGAGAAACAGCTGCATAGCTGCATGGTGGTTCCACGTTTCTGTGGTCAGTTTCCTCATCCAGGACACGAGAACAAGACGCTTACCTCATCGTGAGGTGGTTAGGAAGTGCAGAGCGCTTCGACCTCTGTGTGTGGGCCATTATTGTTCTACTGTATCCGCAGAACCTTCCTCTGGCCTCTCCCCACCATGAGTGACAAGTCCTGGCGGGCGGGCCGGGCCTGGCCTGAGCACACAGTGGTACGTGCGCCCCACATGTGTGCCGGGGAGCGTGCAGGCTATGGTGCTGCAGTCTTTATTCTCAGCCAGGCTACTCATTGTGGCCAGAGGCAACGTGTTGGGGCTGGGTTTGCGCGTTTGTTGACACTTAGGCAGAAAGGCATTATTTCGAATGAACCGAGTCTTCTCATCGAGTCTTGTTGGGCTGTAACCAGAACCTTCATTTTCATAGTGAGAGGGGCAGGCCCCGTGTCCTGGGACTTCCGTGATAGGGACCCTCCTCCCTTCTCTCGGGGCTGCAGAGGGTGGGCAGCCTCAAAAATGTGCTCTACCAGTGACGCGGTTCTTTACTTTACAGAGACACGTTTAAGTCCACTTTAATTTTAGGTGGCAAAACCAAGTTGAAAGCACTATGTCCAATTATAACCCCAAACAAGCTAAAATACATAAAATATACATATACACGCACACATATATGTACATACCTGGTCCAACACAAATAACGCCCCTTTTTTATTACAAAATCGTAAGCGTGTCATTCTGTAATGTAACAATGTCACACTCAAGCACACCATAGGACGCTGTAGGGGAAATGTTCACATTAAAACTATAGATTGTTACTCCCATGTTATTACCCTACCAGCCACACAGGCGGGCCTTGCTTCTGCCGGACCCTGTAAGTTCATACGCACATTGACCTTATTGGTTACATGTTTGTGTGACATGGACACCAGAGACCATCAGCACGGCCGCCTCTGGACGTAAGAACAGTGAAGTGACCCTTTATTTTATGTTCTTCTGTGCCTTAGGAGTCTTTTTCAGTAAGTACTATTTCTATAATAAAAAGCCTAGTTTAAAACATATTAGAAGGAAGACAAGCAATGAATTGGGGATAATCCCAAATAAGCATTTAAAATGTTGAAACCTCCTGATGTTTTAAAAGTACATTAATGCAGAGCCGCAGGACACGGTGGGAAAGCATCCTTGGTCCAAGGCCGGGGGCGGGGAGCAGGGGAGTGGCGCCCTCCCTGCCTGAGGCTCGGCGGGGGGGTGGAGGGGGCGGCTGCGGCGGCCCTCCCCGCGCTGCGGGTCCTGGGCGCCCTTGGAAGATGCAGCCCTCGCCGGCCAGCCCCCTGAGAACATCCATCCCGGCGGCGGGAGCGGTGGGGAGCTGACAGCGGAGGCGGGTTAGAGCGGCGCCCGTGGGTGTGCGGGTGACGCCCCCAGAGATGCAGCGCCCCCCCTCTCGCAGTGCTGTGAGGTGCAGGCCGATTTGTCTTCCTGATTGGATTACATCTATCTGATCGACGTGGATAAAATCCTCCTCCTTGCATTTTTAAACCAAAGAGAAATAAAAAGCAAATATTGTCTTTCGAAACAGGAAACACGATCCATCCTCCAGCTAAATTCCAACAGGGCACACAAGGACAACTTAAGAAATGACTGGAAGTTACGATTCATGTACACACCTACAGTGGAACACTTAGCCTCAGCTCATTTAATTAATACTGATAGTTGCCAAAAAGGGTTATACTAAGATTTGTTTTATTCAAGTCAATTTTTAAATTATTCTCAAGGAAGTCTTTTTTTCTCAGTGTTACAAGTAACACGTGCTCATTGTCGAAAACTCAGAAAAGAGAGGACTTTAAAAAAGAAGAAAATCATCCCTGAGTTTTGTATGCAAAGGCAGCCACATGAAAACACTCTTGGTGAATTTATATATATATTTTAATGACCATTTTATGAAGTTACTTTCTGATTTTTTTAAATTTAACATTGAGTTTTCCCATGTCCTTAAAATATTTTCCAAAAGAAATTTTTAATGATTGCTTAACATCCTATTGCACGGATCGTAAGGAATTATCTTATCTTTTTAGTCTGTGGTCAGTTGATAAGAGACCATGCTCCCTCAGTACTCTTTTAATTTGCATTGATTTTATGAATGGTAGAGGGTTGAAGGGTCTCTTGGGTGCTTTTGTCAATAGCGGTTCTTCCTCTGTGAATGTTCCTATCATTCACCTGCTTGCTTTTGCGACGCCTTTTTTTAAGTGATCTTTAAAATGGACTCATATCAGCATATGTTGCTGATACCAAGGCTTTACTGACTTATTGCAATAATGGCTTCCCAGCTATCATTTGCCCTTTATTTTTAAACTGGCCAATAGGGAAACTAGAAAGAGAGAGAAACAGAAGAAGAAGGAAAAAACGCAGTCACCGGAGCCACTGCCCGGTTTCTAGGCGCCCCCGCGGCCGGGCCGGCCTGTGCCCGGGGGTCCCCGCTCGCTGTTTCGGGCACCAAGGGAGGCGGCGCACACGAAGACATGGGCCCCCCGCCTTCCTGCAGAGGCTGTGCGTTGGTTGTATGGGCGTCTTTCCTATACAGTGAGATGTCCTATTTTAAATGAGATTTTCTCCAAGTATTATTTTCTGTTATTATTAATTCTATATTTTTCTATAATTTGCACCGTTACCTAGCCCAGCTCTCAAGTTAGTTCTAATGGTTTTCCAGTTGATTCTCTGGGACTTTCTTGGATTTACAGCCATGGAGACGTGTGTCCAACGCTTTCTCCGGGGCCAGCAGTCCCACTCCGACCTGTCCTTCCCACCGGGGGCAGAGGGACAGCGGTTTCCAGCGGGGTCGCCCTCAGACCCACCCTCTGCCACGGTTCCTGGCGCTTCGCCCTCGTGCCCCAGGACGGCGCGCCACCGGGGTTTAGTGTCCTGCCACGGCTTATCTACTCGAAGCGACTCTGTCTGTCAGCAGTTGCCATCTTGCAGACAAGGTTTCTGCTGGAGACGCCTCCGTCCGTCAAGCAAACGCCAGCTTCCTCTCCTTAACCGCCGGTGCCGCCGCCTCTGCCCAGGGTCCCAACGCTCATGTGGGGCCCGTCGCCTGCCGCCGACCCCTGGCCTCCCTGGTAAATAAAGCCACCGTGGCGAGTGGATGTATTAGGTGTGTTGTAATTTAAAGACTTAATACTAGCTAACATTTACTGAGCGCTTCCCGTGTACCAGGAGTTCTAAGCGCCTTGCACACTCGGTTCACCCCGGCGGGAACGTGCTATCGCCGCTGTAATGAACTGCCACAGACGTCGCAGCTGAAGCCAGGAGGGGCTGGTTTCCTTCCCCGTCCTGGAGTTGGAGTGTGAAGTAGGGGCGGTGGCAGGGCTGTGCCCGCCCCGCCCCCAGGGGTTCGGGAGCAGAGCCTGTCCCCGCCTGTCCAGGTGCAGGAGGCCACCCGCCCCCTTGCTCGGAGCCACGTCTGTCGCTCCAGCCTCCGCCTCAGGGGTCGCACAGCCTTCTCCTCCCCGGTGTCCCTGTCTCCCTCTGCCCCTCTGTTATTTGAGGACATGTACGATCACATTTAGGGCCCACCCAGAGAGTCCAGGATAAGGTCCCCGTCTCCGGACCCTTGAAGTAATCGTACTTGCAAAGACTGCTTTTCCATGTCAGAAAACGTTGGCAGCCTCCCGGGGTGGGGACCCAGTGTTAGAGGGCTGTGACTCCGCCCACTCCCCCCGCCGGCCCCCACAGCCCCGTGATGGAAGCGCTGTCCTCCCTTCCTCCGTCGATGGAGTCACAGCACAAAGCCGCGCTGCTGGCCTCGTGCCGCTCTGGAGCAGCGCCGCCTGCCGGGGCCCTGGGGGGTGGGCACGGCCCCGCGGCCCGCGTCCCGGCAGGGGCGGGCGCGGAGAGGCAGGTAGGGGCGCTGGAGGTCTGAGTTTTCAGTTTTACTTTATTTGAATTGATGCGTGGGAGCCATGTGTCGGCTGTGGCGGCCACGCTGGGCAGCACAGTCGTAGGGACGCTTGGTTTGAAGGGACGTCTTGTCTCGGCTGCAGCTGCTCCTCCTCCCGGCTTGAGCGGGTTATAAACTGACCTTAAGCGCGAAGATCCATCGACAAGCTTCATTTTGACACATCGTCACAGGCGGCAGAAGCGGGGCGGGGCCAGGGGAAGGGGTCAGGGGAGGACAAAGGGGCCAAACACGTGGCGAGGCAGCGTGCGGACGCGGTGAGGGTTAATGTTGTCACCCAACGCTACCCCGATAAATTAAGGAAAGTTTAAAAACAGAGAGATAGGTAAATAAAGTGAAGAAAGAAAGAAAACACCAACAAGGAGTGACTTCCCCCAACCCCTTGGGGCGACGAAGGAGGCCCTGAAGCCAGGAGCCCTGCCACAGCCAGTCCGTGCAGGCGCGGGCCTGCCTTCTGATGCCAAGTCCCTCCCTGCGGCCGCCGTGGGGGACACTGTGCCGGAGCTGGCCACGGATGCCCTTCTGGGATGCCAGGACCTAGACAGGTCGAGTAAGGTTTTCTTGCGTTCATGGCTCCCGAGACGCAGGGCTGGAGAGCATGCTGGGGTCTCGGTGCCCAAAGCCCCGACGCTCCCAAAGCACGGCTCGTCCTGAGCGTGGCGGCCGCAGGAACCTTGTCCGTGGGTCCCCGGCCCCAGGGTACGG